TTCCAGGCACTTAAACATGCATTGCTGCTGCTATTGTCGCCATTGTTGTTGTTGCTGTGGTTTTTGAAGCTCTGCTTCCTGAGGGCACACACACACACACACACACACACAGAGACACAACACGACACATGCCTGGTGCATATGCATGTTGTGCTGCCATATCGATAGCCAGGATAATAATGACGTTTGGCCACCCATTGTTGAATCAGATACATGACTTTAGGGCACACTTAGGCTATTTATATGCATGTACATACATATACAATATATATATACACATATACGCTTTTTCATGCATATACATATATTTCATATAGACTATGCCCACATATAAATATATTCTGCATTCATTTGTGGGTTTGCATTTTTTATGCCCCGAGCCCATTGTCAATGGGCATTCAGGGTATTATGGCTTTAATAATTAAAGGAGCTCCGTCATGGCATATCTCCGTAGAGTATATACATATATTCCAAGCCCCGTCTGTCTGTCTCACCTGTCTGTCCGTGTTTTTTCCAAGGTGCTAAATGTATAAATGACGTGACAAATATTCAATTGAATATGTAGATCATATGCTAAAGAGGCCAGCTTGTTAACCACACACAGGACGGTGCTGGTAGAGGCACATGAGCTGATTGCTCGGCTCTCAGGGTATCTGTCCGCCGGATACGCTCGACTGGAGCCATCGGACTTGTTCATTAATGCAGCTAATGCTGCAAGCACTGACTTTTCCAGATTTGCATAAGCATATATAAATGTATATATACCATAAGCATATACATGTATATATATAGATATATATGTGTGTGTGTGTGTGTGCTTGCATATAAAATATATGAATATAAATTACAATATTTATGGCTCCATACGCGCAGCGCATTAAATAGCTCTTGTTGCAATTTAGTCGTCGAGCCCGGGAAGCCAAACGAATTTTCCATTATGAGGCAAATAATAAATTACATGCAACTGCTACAGTTGCTGTTGCTGCTGCTGCTGCTGTTGCTGCTGCTGCTGTTGTTGCTGCTGCTGCTGTTGCTGCTGTGTGGCAACCTAGAGGCATATCCTGTTCAGTTGAGAGTCCTGCGCAGCTGCTTGCCACAGACGCGTTAAATTAGCGGCTAATTAATTAGAGCAGCTTTGTTGAGTCGCTGAGTGCCATCCCCCACGCCCCCGGCCACCCGCCAGCGAGCTGGCTGGCGATGCACTTGAAGCTTGACAACTGCAACTGGAAAGCTGAAAGCTGAAAGCTGAAAACGGTCGACATTTGCTCGAGGACTGCTCATAAATTAAAATTTGCAAGCATCTGACAGACAAGGAGCAGCAGCAGCAGCAGCAGCAGCAGCGGCTGCTGTGGCATGAATTGCCTCTTACGCTTGGCCGCTTGAATTTGCCTGCCAGCTGCAATGTGTTGCACGTGTCGCAGTTGCTGCACCTGCTGCAGTTGCAGTTGCACTTGCAGTTGCAGTTGGCGTTGCGGTTGAAAACGTTGCATTTGAAATGATTTCGACTGCAGCTTTGATTTTTACGCTGCTCCTGCTGTTGCTGCTTCTGCTGTTGCTGCTTCTGCTGTTGCTGCTCCTGCTGTTGCTGTTGTTGCTCCCGCTGTTGCTGCTGCAGCTGTCACAACACGAAATTCAGCATTTTCACAGATGAAATGTTCGGCGGTGGCTGAGTGGTTCCGATGGGGCTGGGGTGGCTCGACATAACTGCCAATTTAAGCTGCAGCCAGCTCGATACCTGTGCGGTCGACGCATTTACTAGCAATTGAAATGCCAGCAGCAGCAGAGATGCCAGCAATAAATGTTACCAGTTCAATACCCACACACACACACAAATACATATATACACACACACATACACATATATATATATGTGAAGGGCGTCAACTGCAATTATAATCAATTGAAAGGCCGCCAATTATATTTTATGTGCGTAATTTATGTTAATTGCAAAATTTTAAAATAAATTGCATTTTTATCGCCCTGCCGCCATGGCCCTGGGCTGTACATTATCAAAATTTTTGTCACAAAAAAAAAAAAAGAAATGAAATGAGTTAATAAATAAATAAAGAGAGAAATTAAATTAAAAATTAATGGAACAAGCGTGTTAAATGACAGCAGCCAACGTGCGACGTGCCGGAGCATGAAAGCATTTGCCATGCTCAATTAATTTTGCCAACTCCAATCAATGTACACTGAAATATATGTATGTATGTATGCATAAATCTAGCTGGATTGCGTAGAGAGCGTATTGATTTAATAAGTGAAATATGCTTGTGGCTCTGCTCTGATTGACGATTAATTTGCTTGTCAAGACTGAAGCACTTACCTTGGGGCTGCCTGCATAATCCTTTGAGCATAGATGGGGCCAGCTCTAGACTAAGCCCCCATTAATGTGCAATACAGTAACAACAATTACAAAAACAAAAACAATAGCAACAGCAGCAGCAGCAGCAGCAACAACAATGCATAAATAACAGACTATAAATAATCCGAGCAGCTGCAGCTCGCTCGACATTCATATGAAGCTGAAATGATGTTTAAATAAAAATATGCACATTTCCGTATATATTTGCATATGTGTGCATAAGTGTGCATGGGTGTCTAGTAGCATATATGTATGTAAGTGGGGGCAGAGGGGGACTTTGTGTGTCTATAAATCGTATTCATATTCATGTTTAATCTCATATGTCTCATGTTCTTATTCTTTCGTCTTATTCTTTTGCTGTAGCTAAAAGCCAATCGAATGCTCTGGGAAAGTAAGGCGAAACAAGTGCTGCAGATGGACACGGATGATAATAATAACAACAATAATAACAACAACAACAACAACAACAATAACAATAATAATGAGAATAATAATAATAAAATAATGACAGAGCAACAGCAGGCGGATCAGGAACTGCAACAGGAGCAGGAACAGCAGAGGCCAAAGGATGTCATCACGATAAAGCAGCTGCCGTCAAACTTCAACAGCAACAGCAACAGCCACAACAACAAGAACAGTAACAACAACAACAACAATAATAATAACAATGGCAAGCAATATGTCGGCGCACTTGAGGACACATGATATCCGCATATACCCATAAGATTACCACGCGGCAAGCATTGAGCTGACGACAACACACAGTAACAACATCAACAACAACTAAAACAACAACAACATCAACAGCGACAACATCAGCAACATCAGCAACAGCAACAATGCGCATGGCAACAGACAAGCATCAAATGTTGGCAAACCAATTTCAAATTGTATTATACCAAGTAAACGCATATGCATATGCAGATATATATACCTAAATATACATGCATACATATATGCTACATCTTTGCCACAGTTGTGCACGAGTGTGCGTGTGTGTGTAATGCGTTCAAGCGATTTAAAGACACATTTGCCGCATCGAAGACACAATTTTATACATATATACATAATATTGATGTAAACATAATTTAAACATGTTTAGCGAATACCACCAAAAAAAAACATTTAATAATAGTAATAAATAATAACAAATAAAAATAGAAT